GATGTGCTCAGCACGTGTCCGCGATGTCGCACGCCAGGACTCGGCGCTATGAGACGTATCAGGCGATCAGCTGTGGCGGTACATGCTTCGGGCCGGCACCCAGCAGACTCGGGGCAACTTTTTACTTTGGGCCCTTCGTCCACGCGGGCCAAGGGCATGATGCTACGGGTCCCCAACCAATATGGGATCCGGCAGCGTGCGGGGGACGACGTGCGGGCGGCTGAACATCTTGCTCGAGCTCTACTTTGACGAAAATGACTTGATGGGCTTGCCCATCCCGGAGTGGTTCGACTCCACATAAACCCGAGACGGTGATGGGTGCGTCGTGCGGTGGTCTCAGGCCCAGTGAGGTAGTGCATCTGACCATCCCGGATCCTGCTGAACAAGCTCCTCTTGTAGCTCGATCGGTCACAACCGCCACCACCGACGACATCTCCGCGGAGATGATGGAGAGGGGGGACGACACCGCCCGATCTACCCTCCGAGGTCCCTCGGCGGCGTGCACCTCGATCCTGGACCGTGTTTGTTATGACCCCCCCCCATGAGCACACCAGCGAGGGAGGGTGAGACGATCGAGGGGTCCCGTACCATGCGAATCGACCCTATCCAGTGCTCAAGTGCTCATAACAACGAAGGCGCTCTCAAAAGAAAATCGCGTGCAGATATATCATGAGAACCATCCTCGCGCTCTGCTGCGCGCTGGCCGCGGCGTCCGCGTCTGCGCCGTCGGCCGACCGCCGCGGGCAGCGGCGATTCCCGCGTCTTCAGCTCGGCCTCGGCCGCCGGCGGTCAGACAGGAGCGCGCTCGCCAAGGCCTTTATGGTGAGCGCGCACACACGAAATCTTGCGGCCGCGTCGGCCCTGACTCACGCCTTGCCACGCGACCCCAGATGTCGGAGCTCAAGTTCACCACGGACGAGCCGGTCGAGGGCACCGACCTTATCCAGTTTCGCGGCAAGGGCGACGATTACTGCGCCTTCATGGAGCCGCTCACAGAGCAGCTCTGCAACGAGCTCGGCGTCAAGATCCGCTGCTTCGAGGTGTGGCACGACAGCAGGAACCTCGAGCTGCTGCAGAGGCTCGACGCTGGACGGTGAGCTCCGCCGCACTCACGCTTAAATGCCGACGGGCGCCGTGGCACGCCTTCCAGTGCTTCCCAACGGGCAGTCCGCCCACCGCACCCCATCACGAATCAGCAGCCTCGGGTCCCAACCCCCCCGGGGCCGCCTTCATCCGGGTGCAACAGCACGGGGCCCTCAGGAGGGAGCCCCGTTTTGGGGACCCTCCGCCTCTCCGGGCCCTGACACGTCAATTAGCGCCAGCCGCGCCGGGCGCTCACACCGAGTGCTCCTTCTGCCGGCTGGCGTCAGTCGACCGTGGCACATCCCCCCCGCGCTGAAAAGTGACCCGAGCCGCCGGGTGCCCCGCAGCGGCCTCGCCGGGCCAGAAGAACCGGTCCGCGAGTGCTCCGCAGCAACCTCGCTGAGCCAGAACGTCGGCTCGCGAGGTGGGGTGCTAGTATGAGACCGATACGTCGCAGTTCTCTTGCTCCAAGCGCTTGCGCTTCGGCGGTTAGTGGTGCACTAACCTCCGAGAAACCCTTCGGGTCGCTCCTCATCGCAAACCCTGT